AAGAGTACTTAAAGCTAGGAACAGGAAGGACTCTAGGTTTTCTTATGCAGACCTCCAAAATTCAACTGGGAATCATGAAATACTATATTCTTTAATCTTTCACTTCCAGTTACAATGATTGTGTGACTGACTGCAGAGGTCTCACACATGCACTCCAGCAAAGATTTAAAAAGATCAAAAGACCAAATAATGGTATAAAAAAAAAATCCAACAGTAAGCACCTTTATCCAGCCCACAACTGCACAAAGGGGTCCAGTGGAAGACAGGTACACTTCCTGGCTGATCAGAGAATTCAGGAGCACCTGAAGCCTCTCTACCCAAAAGACAAGAAAACAAGAATGCCTGAAGAAGCTATGTACAGGATGAGAAGAAGGTGAGGCAACAGCGCAGGAAACCCACAGTGCTAACTCAGACAGAGAAAGAAGCAGGTCACTGCACTTTGATCTGACTGAGTTGATCCAATGGATCCCAAAGACCACAGAGCTCTGAAACAGGACAATAAAGGGGGTTTGAAACCTGCCACGACTCAATAAGGAGACATATCAGAGAAAGCAGAAGCTAGCAGCAAGCAAGGTTAGACTCAAGGACCAACCACCCCATCCAAACATGCAAGGAGGGAGTGGATCCGAGCCCTGGCACAAAGGTCCAAAACAGCAACTAAGTAAACAGAAATCACAGAACACTACTGAAAAAAATTGCAGATCTAGAGGGGTGTCCAAGAGACAAACTTAGAAAAGAATAATTCCACAAAAATGACAAAGCAAGAGGCTTAGAGAAAAAAGTGGCTTGGGCATAAAGACTATTAAAGAGTACCTGGAAAAAAAGCAGCAAGAAATAAAATGATGAAATTATAAGTGGTATTAGAAAGCTCCAGAGAAAAGAATAAGGAGAATAAATAACAGAATAGAATTTAGGAAACTTTACTCAAGTATTAGACTACCTGAAAATTAAAATGGACCAAACGGAATCAATGATTCCACAACAGGAGAAATACTAAAACAAAATCAGAAGAGTGGAAAAAATAGAAGAAAATGTAAAGTATCTACTACCAAAAATGACTGATCTGGAAAATAGGTCAAGGAATTAAATTTAAGAAATCTTCAAACTCTCTGATAACCAAGACTCAAGAATAAATAAGTAGAAATACAGATCGATTAAATCCTAGATACATTATGTCCTTTAAGTTGTTCTTAAAACAGTCTCTCTCTCTATCAAACTCCCTTGACTGTATGCTTACAATTTCAGAAAATTCATTCCAAACTATAGTAGAAAACAACAATATTTATCAAGACAAAACAGTCAATAGGCTATAGTCACTCTTGAAAATAAGTAACACTCAGACTTCCATCCAACAAACAGCCTAATTTTTATGCTTTCTGGAGCGGAAATGTAAACAACCATATCACACACCTACTCTGAGTTAAAGTAATTTGGAAAATAAAGTTATTCAAAATATATATGACTCTTAGAAAACTACCATGATGATATCCCAACAAAGAGACAGCCCACCCTCCTAATTGGTATGTCTCTAGCTGTACCACTATTGTATCATAAGGGGCATCAGCCACAATGACTTCACTCCCTAATGGACTTCCTCTCTGAAATTCCTTTCCATCTCCTCATCAGTAGCCTTACCCTTACAACAAGCTCCCCTTAATATGTTGTCTTCCTCCCACCCCAGAATCTAAGCTCCTTGAGGGTAGAGAATGATCTTGTTCTCACATTAAGTGCTTACTTACTGCTCAATTTATGATACAGATATAAGCTGGGAAAATTTACAACAGATGTTCAGGCTGGTTCAATTTATCTTTTAATATGAGTGTTTCATCTTTTTTAGATGCTTATCTCATTGTTATTGAGTGGTTTTCTCTGTGACCCCATTTGGAGTTTTCTTAGCAAAAATACTGGAGTGGTTTGCCATTTCCTTCTCCAGATCATTTTACAGATGATGAATTGAGGCAAACAAGGTTAAGTGACTTGCCCAGGGTAACACGGCTAGAAAGTATTTGAGTCTTAGGGTTTTATTTTTATCTCCAATTCTCAGTACTAGGGCCAAGAATAAAAGATTCTGTGATCAGGTTAGAAGTATACTCCTTCTGGTAAGCATTCTTGCTCACCTGAGTAAAACAGAAATTAAGATACAGCAACTACCTGCTTTTAAAAAAAAACTACTACCTTGTAAGAAGACAAGCTAAAAATACCAACTCCTCTGTACCACCCTATTCAGAAGCTACTTATCTCTCAGTATTATTTAAGCAAATTTGTACATATTATGCTTAATATTAATTTGGTCCCACATTTATGTTCTAATCACTCATAGTAAAAGCATAAAATTTACCTCTAGAAGCTTTTGGAGAGGTCAGTTAGTCCAAACCACTATTTATACAGATGAGAAATTGAGACCCAGAGAGGGTGACAAATGATACAGACTATAAACTAGCAGGGCTGCAATTCAAACCCAGGCCCTTATGACTACAAATCTAATATTCCTCCCACTGTACCAAGCACAATTTAAAATGCTTCCAAGTGTTAGGGATAGACCATCCATCCTACTGCTAATTAGTAAGAAAACAAGGGGTCTGTTTTAGTGAAGATTTTCCAAACAATCCTACTAAATTACTTGAATAACAATGTGACTAGATAATGGCCTAAATATTTCATAACAAGTGGTTTATTTAGTAGGCCTTAACCATGTGCAAACCAAGATAAACAAGAGAGACACCCTAGGTCCTAGAGGACCTAGAAGAACCTGTGGCCTCTCTAGGTCCCCTTAAATGTGGCCCTTTGACTGAATCCAAACTTCATAGATTTGTTCTGTGAAGTTTGGATTCAGTCAAAGGACTGAACTTAAGGTGACCTAGAGGGCCATACTTGGCCTCAAGGCCACAGGTTCCCCACCCCAGCTCTAAGACAATCAGAATTACCATAAAACCATAGCTATCTGGAACCCCTGAAAAGTAAGTTGTTCTGGATGGCCGAGGATTTAATACAGTAACAGTCATAGTAGCACAGTTTTCCTTGCAAGTTGAGAAGTAGATAATACAAGTTATCAATACCTCTATTTTGCATAAAGAATCTGAGCACAGAGATGTATGTAACTGAGTTACATAGTCACAGAACTAATAGGTGGCAGAGCTTTAACTTGAACTTAGGTCTTCTAAATCCAAATCCTGTGTTCTTTCCACTATATGATAATGACTTTATTTTTAAGCACCAAAACTTTCTCATCTTATCCACTTTGGATGTAAATATTGTCTAAAATATATACTCAACATAAATGAACATTCTTAATAGTACAGGATTACTGACTATAAGGGGAATTTGCCCCTAGAGTAAATGATCCTAACACAAGCTGTGCTTTTGAGAGATTTTGGGTCTGCTTTCTATTTACCAATGATGCTTTCCTTGCGCTTGACTATTCTACACTAGCTCCTTTCCAGTCCAGTTGACTATGAACTTAATAGATCACTAATACTTGTTAGTGTGCCTAAAACAAAAGCAAATAGGCTATGATCCTGAAACTCAATATGCCCAAAAGTAAACACCAAATCACATTCCCAAAACCTCCCATTTCCCTTACTTTATTATTTCTTTTACTTTTTGTTCTCTATTGATGGTACCGTCAACCTCCTGAGTTACCTAGACTCATCATCCCCGAGTCATTTTTGACTCTTTCCTCTCCCTCATATCCAATGTTGCCAAGATCTATGTCTATTTTACCTCTGCAATATTTCATCTATATTCTCCTCTCAATTCCCACTGCAGCCACCCTAGCTCAGATTTTCATTATCTCTCTTGAACATGGAACTGTTGTAAAGAAAAGGTTTCATTATCTGGTCTTCCTGTCTCCAATCTATTCCATCTCCAAATCATCCAATGTACAAACTTCCTATCACACTGCTCTCATCATGTTGTTGTTCTCCTCAAAAAACCTTTGGTGGCCCCTGCAACTACCTGTAAGTATAAAATAAGTTCCTGTCCTTGGTATTTTCAAGGCCATCTATAAATTCTCTCAAATCTACCTTTCCAGCTTTAATTCTCTGGCCCTATTCTCATTCTGAATTCTTTCTACTATCTGTCTCTGGCCTTTTTACTCATTCTGTTCCCCCACCTCTAGCTGTTAAAATCCCACGGCTCATCTCAGGTTGCACGTCCTCCATGAAGCCCTGGGGACTACTCTTCTTCCACCTGAAACACCATCATTCTCAAATTCTTCACAGCACTTTGGCTCTCTCCTTCAACCTTATATATTCCACTTTGCATATGCTTATTTGTGTATATGTTTTATCTCCACTGTCAGGTGGTAAACTTTTGAGAGAGAAATTGCCTTGTTTCATTTTTGTATGTCTAGTACCTAGTAGTGTCTTTCAAACAGCAAATGGATAACAAATATTTGGTGAACTGAAGTGTGTGAACTTTGTAGTATCTACTTTAGCTTCTTAGATGCTTCTCAATTGCAATGCCTCTTCCAGCAAGGTGAAGTTGCTTAACAGCTGAACTCCAAATTGGTGAGGCATTATGGTGTAGGAAAAATAGCAATAAGGCAGCATACTGAGGAAAAGGCATGTAGGTTCAGTTCCCCACTCTGTCATTTCCAAATTGTGTTACCTTGAACAAGTCACTTATCTTTGCTAAGCCTTACTTTGAGGAAGCTGCTTCAGATAACCTCCAAGGTCACTTCTTGTTCTAAATAGATTTTATATGGTGCTAAGCTTGGAGTTAGAAAAAAAGAATGCTAGAATCCTGGATCTGACAATTCCTTGCTGCTGTTCAAGCAGCAAGTCCCATTATTAACCTCTCTTGTGCCTCAGTTTCCTTATCTGTAAAATGGGGATAATTATTTTGATATAAACCTCACTGGGTCGTTTGTGACTCAAAACAAGCTAATACCTGAAAATGCTTTGAAACCCCAACAGAAAAGCTAGCTATTATTATTACAGTGTAATGACGGATTAAAGGCATCCGTTACTATGGTAAAACTGAATGCAATAGCTACTTACACTAACAAACTGAATGTCATCTTCAGTGTCTTCTTTTGGTGACTCAGTCTCAGAATCAGTTGAAGATAATTCCATTATCTGCACAACAGAAACCAAAACATTCTTCATTAACTCTACAGCAAGGTAGTTCTTCACACCACTTTTTTTCACTCCCTTAAGATGTACACTGCAGGAGCAACCGGAACTAATAGCGAAGAGAGGAAACCTACTAGAGTACTCAGGAAAGCCCGATGTTAAGATGCAAATAAAACTAAAGAACAGGCAGGGCAGAGGCATGCCCCGATATTTTCATGGATACTGGGGGCGCAGTGAGGGGGTCGATACAGTAAAGTGAGGTGGGTTTCCCCACAGCCCGAGTCACTGTGTTCCAAATACCTCCCCAAATAAGGAGAGAGGCGCGCGCGGCGCTGAGCAGCAACCCTATCTCACAATGCTCGTCTCCTCCTCCTTCACAATGCAGCCTCGGGCAGCAGAGCCGGTAACAGCTGCAGAAAACTCTGCTCTCGGTGCAAGGCGGCCGAGGCTCAGTCCCGCCGCCGGCCATTGTTGCAGAAGCTACAGCCCGGTTTGCACCAGGGAGGCCCCCTTTCACTCCACGCCACGCCACCCTGTAACGGGCCCCACGGGCTCCTGCAAGCTGCACCCCTGCTCCTGCCCTCCTCCTTCCCCGCCCCCACGCAGGGCTGGGGTGGATGTTGCATCAGGCCCCTCCAGCATCGGAAGGAAACTGAACTCGGCCCCCCAGCACTCCGTGTCCCCCGCCGTCCTCTCGGCGGGGCGGCTGCAGCCTCGGGGAGCTCACGGTCACAGGCTTGGGCTTTTCACCCACCTCGGAACCCGGCTCTCCCTTTTTTTCCGGCTGCTCCTCTGACATCTTCCCCTCGCAGTCGCCGTCGCCGCCGCCGCCGCCGCTGCCGCCACCAGGGCAGCCCTCGCGGCCGGGGCTCGCTTTCCTTCCCCAGTCCCTTCCCGCCTCTCCGCGCCGCCGCCACCGAGCGGGATCCCGCCCCCGCGTGACCGCCTACACGGGCAAAGGGGTGGGAGGGAAAGGAAGCAACGGGAGCTCCCACCTCAAAAGTAGCCACAGGCCGAGGCGCTGTCTGGCTTCCTGCTGCCGCCGCCGCCGCGGAAAGAAACCAATCCCAAACAACTCCTGATCCCTCTCTTCTCTCCCGTAACTGCCCGCTTCTGCCCCCGGGCCACCGCACGGGCTTCTGGGATTTGTTGTTCTCCCCGGTCCGAAGCGGGCGCCGGAGACGCGGAAAGAAAGACCGCGGCCGAGAAAGCCAAGCAGCTAGAGAAGCGCGGAGGAGCATGCGTAGTCAGTCCCGCTGACAGGGCACGCTTGGTGGGAGGGGTAAGCTGGAAGTGGTGGAAAGTGATGCTTTGAAATGGGCCCCGAGTGGGGAGGAGTTTTAGAGTTTTTGCATTAACTTTAAAGTAACAAGCTCTTCCTCCTCTTTTCAACCCTAAACCCTAGCTCGCCTTATAGTGCCTTGAACCCTCCCTTTTGCTGCCCTTCCTCACACCCCACCCCCACCTGCATGTAGTGTGGGGACAAGCAGGGCCCCTTTCAGGAAGGGCTAATGTGTGTGGAACAAGGCAACTGAATATGAAATATGTACATCCTCTTATGATTTCCACGTTAGGCCTTCCTGTCCCTAGTAAACACTGGCCTGGAAATCACTTTGTCCCTGCCCTCATCTTTTTCCTACAATCCTATTCCACTCTTTCTCTGTCCCCTACTAGCACTGGAAGAATAGTCCACAGCTCCAT